AGGGTTATTATCATTGATTAAAACAGAAATAAAAATAAATTAAACCTAAGTACAGTATTTTTTATTTATTAAAAACTAATAAGATGACAAAAGTACATAACAAACTTACGAAATGTAAACTAATTTGAAAACCAAAACTATAAAAATAAAAGCTAATTTCATTAAATTAAATTAAAACTTAAATATCACTAGTTTAAATATTAGCAATTTAATATAAATAACTTTTAATTTTGCATTTAAGTTTGCATTTTTTGCCTAATTGTTCTTAATGTCACAATGCAAAATATATGTATTTTTTTTAACCGGACACGCTTTTAAGCATTTAATCATTGTTTCAGTAGATGTTCATTTCTCTTCCAGTCAGTTCCTGATGGATAAAGTCCTACCCTAAATATTAATGTAATTGAATATCCAGAATAATTATGAAATACGTCATAGTTAAAATAGGCTAATAATTTTCAACCATTTCATGTTGAACAAAAAACATATTATACAGTTAAAATTTTAATCAGGCTTTTAAAGTCTCGGAGGGACAGTTTTTGTGGGTTAATTACGGCACATATGTGGATCTGGATCACAAAACCAGTCACTAGGGTTGTACATTGGTGGACATCATCTGAAAGATGAATAAATAAGATGTTAGGATAGGACAATATTTGGTCAAAGACGCAACTATTTGAAAATCTGAGTCTAAAATCGCCTTTAAAGTTGTCCATTTATGTTCGCGATTTTTCTCCATTCACTATTTAAATATATTTACGGTTGGAAATTTACAAAATATCTTCAGAGAACATGGTCTTTACTTAATATAATCCTAATGATTTTTGCCCTAAAAGAAAAATCTATAATTTTGACCTATACAATGTAGTGTTGGCTATTGCCACAAATGTACCTGTGCGACATGTGACTGGTTTTGTGGTTCAGGGTCACATATAAGGCACTTGAGATTCCTCGGTCTCGCTCTCCAGGGGAAAATCACAACGATGAAGCTCTCGTGACCACTAACACGGCAGAAAACACTTCAAAGCCACCGGACACATGTGTGACCGATGGCCCTTCCCTGCCTGTCAGAGATGAGAAGGGGGAAGATCTCACACACACTCAAAACACACTTCCAGAGCATCCGTCGCATTCCCGATCACTCCGCTGTCAGGTTTATGGTTATGGTTGGGTGATTGTTGAGTGATGGTGGAGTGTGAACAGACAGTAACGAAGGAAAACCGCCAACACACACACACACTGTCACCACTCAAATCTGAGATACACAAACAAGGTCATCATCAGCACAGATGCAAAACTACTTCTGTAGAATGTATAGCATATGTAGATGACCTCAAGGCTGTCAAAAACACACACTTGCATGCATCCGACTTCACACACTACGTTCCAGTGCATGTCAGATCTCGTACACACTAAGAGAAAAGAAAGCCTCTTCTAAAGTTTCATATTCATAATTACATGTTTTGACCGGTTCAGTCCTCTGAGCTTCTGAAATATTCAAATATTTATGATTTTTAAATATGCCGTTCCTTTTTCTCTCCGATACTCTTATCCAGATTTCATAGGAGAACTGTATTCAGATTTGTTGTTGTTGATGCATTGTGACATTTAATTACAATTAAGCAAAATTTCCATTTTTTTGTTTCATTTTGCATAGTTCTCGTTTTTCAATTATTGCCAATGGTGATTCTAATTATTGTAATACATAATTTTGTTTAATACAACACAATTTTTTATATTAGCTTAAATTATCATTTAAATAAGCTTTAATTAACTACTGTGAAATAATACTTTGTAATTAGATATATTTTCTTTTGTATTGAAATACTTTATGGGTTCCTGTATTATTGTAGTTTTATTAATATTTTGGAATTTTTATATAATATATAGCTTTTTATATAAAAAATATTATAGCTTATTTTATATTTTTATTTTATATAATAATAGCTTTTATTTTCATATCTAAATTTTTGTTGTATATTAATCATATTATTTTGTGCTTCTATCTTTTTTTTTAGGTTTTATTCAATTTTAATTTATTTTTATCTCAGTTTAGTTTTTAATAATGTTAGTGCTTCAACTTTTTCTTCAACATTTTTAATTTAGGTTTTCAACTAATATTTAGATTTTATTTTATTTCAGATTGATTTCAATCTACAGAAATGTTTTAATAGTTATAGTTATCAATCATAACCCCGTTCACTGTTTAAGGTCAATCTGAAATCACACATTTTATGCGGAGATAATGCCCCTGTTCTGTCTCAGTGAAGATAGCGCTGAAACACGCCGTGAGAATAACAAGTTCGTTTTTCCACAAGCTCCAGACTGGAAGTGGTGCTTTCCAGGCCGAGGGCGATGTTCTGCTGTCTGGAAACGTAAATGCCAGGACCGGTTCTGAGTGTGACAGCGCCGGGACTCTCACTCAGAACCGGTTCTCTGGACTGAGCCGGTAATCAGAACAGGCAGGTTCTGCTTTGTGGAAAACTGTCTCTCTTCTGAATCTGTGGTGGTGTTTAAGAGCCTCTCATACACTGCAGTATTAGAGCGTTCACCGTTTGACCTCGTTTAATAACAGCAGAACGGCTCAAATCTACAGATAAATCATAAACCCATTATGTTCTGTCCTGAATTCGCTGACGGAAACCACAGCTATTCTGCTTTTTCCACTTGTTTAATCTTTCTTTAGTGCGTAATGTTGCTGTTTGAGCATGAAAGCGTATCTGAGCATGTCACTGTTTCTAAACTCACTGAAACGCCTCCATTGCAGTCTTGAGTTTTCGTCCGGGAACGAACACGTCACAATATTCCTCATTTAAATAATTATTGTGCAGAATAAAGGGGCGGGACCTGGATGAGTTAGTTAGTAGTGTGTTAAACCGGCAGTTATGGAAAGGGGCGGGACATTTCACAAACACACTCGAAGCGCTCGACCAATCACAACACACTGTTCCAACCGACCAATCAGAGCACAGTGTGCTTTCAGAAGGAGGGGCTTCATAGAAACAGGAAGTAAAAAGAGCGTTACTGACAGACTGGGAAGAGAGGAGCCGCAACAATACGCCTTATTCACGGCAGCGCCATCTTTGATTTTTAATGAGAATGAAAGCGAGGCTGTGAGGGATAGACTTGCATCTCTTTAATGGGCTGTACTGTTATTTATTGTGTTTTCGGATTGTTCTGCTCATGAAACACTGGAAAAATATCTTTTTACAGCGGAAGCCATTGGAAACACGGTAAGTCTATCCCTCACAGCCTCACTTTCATACCTGTCATGGCGCTGCTCTGAATAAGGTCAATGGAGAATATGAGGAGAATAATCAACATTCAAGCAGGAAAGCCTGTTCTAGTAGAGCCCGAAAACAACATCAAGACTTTGTAAAAAGGAAAATGGCCTCTTTAACGTTACAAACTATAATTTCAACAAGACTGCAGTGTTTTAGTGTTTTCAGAAAGCCTTTTAGAAACAGTGCAGTGTTTTGCCGCTGTCTGTTTGTGATGTAAATTTCTAGCCATTTCGTTTTAATGCAATTTATTTGGCTGAAGGCTTTCATTTCCCGTTCAGAGCAACACTAATGGTGTAATTACAAGCCCCACAATAAGCCGGCACATACGAAGAACTTGAACGAAAACAGTGAAATCCTTTTAAAATGAATTTTTTTTTACAAATCACAGATGTAATCTGGTGAGCAAAAACATTCAACCGAAAGTGCAACACGCTGAAGTGACATGCAAGCGCAGATCTTCAAACAAAACAAAATGTCTACAAAAGATGTTTGGTGAAACTACAAAACGAAACGCTATCAAGTAATCTTTCATGAATCCGCTCCGTACGTGTACTCATCCAAAGAGATAAAAGCTTGAATTAGACGTGGAAACCAATCAAAACCACATAGCCGGGATATTTCATTAGAAGGAGGAGAAAAACACTCTCCAGTGCCTGAGAAACACGCACACCTGATACCATCAGAGCTTTTCAAAGTCCCTCACTCAGCCGCGGATGTCTGTGATCTTGAACAGAGCGCTGATCTCTCAAAGTCACCGGAGTGAAACACAATTCAGAGGCCAATAACCCCGGAGACGAGCCTCTGGGGGGCTTTTAAGCGAGATGAACAAACCCTTCGCGCTCAGTCAGATTAGCTCTGTCCTATAAGCATCGTTTCAAAGTGATAGTTCACCCAAAAATGGAAATTACCCCTTGATTTACTCAACCTCAAATCATCCTAGGTGTGTATGACTTTCTTCTCTCAGACTAATATAATCAGAGTGATATTAAAAAATATCCTGGCTCTTCCAAGCTTTATAAGGACAGTGAATGGTAGTTTCTGTTTTCAGTCCATCTATCCATTATAAGTCATCTATCCTTCAAAAAAGTGCATCTATTGATCATAATGGTGAATCTATCCATCATAAAAGTCAATCTATCCATTATAAAAGTGCATCTATCCATCATAAAAGAGCATCAGTGCATCTATCCATCATGAAAGTGAATCTATACATGATAAAAGTGCATCTGTCCATCATAAAAGTGGATTTATCCATCATAAAATTGCATCTATCCATCATAAAAGTGCATCTATCCATTATAAAAGAGCATCAGTGCATCTATCTATCATAAAAGTGCTCCACACGGCTCTCCGGGGATTAATAAAGGCCTTCTGAAGTTAATCGATATGTTTGTGTAAGAAAAATATCCATATTTAAAACTTTATCGACTAAAATAACAAGCTTCCACTCACTCACAAGAAGAAGAAACTCTTCAAAATAACAGATATGAGTTCATTAATATGGATTTTCAAATGATTTGAGCTGCCATACGCATTTATTTTGGTAACACTTTGAACTAACTATGAAAAATAGTTCTAAAGTATTTATTAATCGATTTAAACATTTACTAATACATTATTAAAATCAAAAGTTGCTACTTTAAATGTTATTTAATTGTCGTGAGGTAACATGAACTAACTGTGAATGGTTGTTTTTATGAATAACACCAATAAAGATGTATTAACTATGTTAGTTAATGCACTAATGGGACCTTGATATAAGTGTTACTATTAATTGTATATCTCTATAATCTTAAACTCAACTCTTGATGTCTGTTTTCATTTCTTTGTATGAATTTTGGGAGAGAAACATCTAAAAAGAAAGATGAGACTGTACATAACTAAGAATATTATTGCAATTTCACCTTCAGGACTTTCCCAATATATGGAGAATATAATATCTCAGTTTTAGTACTCAAGTCCATGCAGTAAAACTAACATTTCAGAGCCAAAAAGAAAAGTCAGTTTCCCTTTTAACGTCTAGAGCGAACACAAGCTTGGGTTGTTCGTCTGATCGTTTGTGTCTAGGGTGAATCTTTGCTGTTGCTCCATATTTAAACCATCTTTGGTAGTGAAGAATATTGTTTTAAACTGAAGCTTATCGTTTCATCTGGTTGCTCATGAGTTATTGAGCCGGTCATGGTGTTTGTACAGAAAACATGTAATATAAGTCGATGATAAAAGTGATCTCCTCCGGGTATGGGGGCCCTCAAGGTTCAATCCTGGGACCTTTCCTGTTTTTTTCAGTCAATGGGTTGGTGGGGTTACAGGAACAATCTGCCGCTCCTGGCGTCTCCCCAAGCAATTCTGTTTTTCTCTGTTGTATCAAAGCCAAGCGACTGTGTTATGAGAGCATGTTATTGTGTAAATCCGATCACATTCACACAGGCCTTTGCTACACAAATGGAGGGATTTTGAAGAATGTTACAATTGCCACAACCTGTCTAAGCTCCAGAAAGGTAAATATGCATGGCAAAATGATTTTTTAACTTAGTATTTTGGCACATTTCGACAGGACTAAAATCACTGAGAAGCTCTGGTACTCATTCATTTACCACATGTTAAACTAATCCAGTCCAGATAGGGCTAAAAACGATAACCCGCTGTAAAAAGCCCTTTATTTGGCTTGCCTTAAGTTGATTTCTCGTCATCTGATTCATGATTTTGTGTTCCACAGAAGATCTAAAGTCATACAGGATTGCAGTGACCCGAAGGTGAGTACATTTCCACTTTTTGAACAGTTCCTTTAAAGTGTGTTCATTTACAGTGAACTGAATTGATTTGAGTCTGTAGTAGAATCAGCAGGGGTCACCGTCCTTTTATTTACTTCTATATCAAACCCTTGTGTTTTATTCTTTTCATTATCACCTTTTCCAGGTGAAATACTAAGTTGCTTCGGTCGAACCGTCACACGTCTCTCTCCGGCCGTAATGAGGCAGGGGAAGAAAATGAGTGAGTGGAGGTGTAATAGATGGAGAGAGAAATAGAAAGAGATGAATCGCTAGCAGATAGATAATTGGAAAGAGGCGCATCAGAAGGCTTGTGTAATTAGAACGGAAGAGTGTGTGAGGAATCTAAATGTTTCTGTGTTTGGGTCTCAGGAGGACCTGCTGTCCTGTCGAGCCACTCAAACACACAAGTCCATCTGTTTCCTACTGGTTCACCTGCATCGAGACACGACAACAGCTGTTGGTTTGTACAGTTCTGAGTGTATTGATCGTATCTCATCATAAACGCTCGTGCGTCAAGCTCAATTCTTATTATTTTTGCATCTTAGCCAAGACGGCTTATTAATATAACGTTTCATCTACACTGCTCTGATCAATTTACGGTAAGAAACATATTTCATGATCCGATATAACAGACTTAACTTAAATTTACAGTAAAAAAAAAAACATATTTCATTAACTGACATTATGTTAATTTACCAACCTACTGAAGTACTAAAAACAACACTAACAACCACCAATCACAGTGGTGATGAGAGTCACATGATGAAACAAAGCTCATCACAAGCAGCTTTTCCCCAAACTGAGAGATTTAAAGGGACGGTTCACTTTAAAATTAATTTTTGGTATGTTTTAGCTTTCCTCAAGGGCATCCAATGTAGGTGTTCAATTTTTTAGTTCAAACCATTCTTGTCTGTCAGTCATATAATGGAGGTCTATGGTCACCACCTCAAAGAGCATGCACAGAGAAGTCCAAATTAAAGATGATTTAATGACTCGTATATGTAAGTACACATTGATGGCCTAAGACACGAAACGAGAAGTAAAAACGATATAAATACTGTTCGTTTTCTCACAAAAACCGCTAGTTCCATGTCTTAGGCCATCAATGTGTACTTACGGTTTGACCTAAAAATATCAAAATTGAAAATACTGTGGAAACAAAGACACCTCCATCTTGGATGCCCTTGAGGTAAGATAAAACATACCAAAAATTAATTTCAAAGTGAACCATCCCTTTAATACTAATCTATAAAAGATGCACAGGGTCATTCACACAAAACACTAAACACCATCATGGTAACACATGTGAAATTTTAAAAATGCAATTAATTTAACAGCATTAATGTAATATAAAGCCCTCATTAGAAAAAACTGTTATTTAAACAAAAATACATCAAATTGTGGCAATGTCAATGTACGTTTTTTTTCACTGTAAATTGTAAAATGACTTGTTCTTGTTTAACTTTCAAAAACTATTGTACTGTAAAATTACATTAATTGTAATTATTCGGTTATTCACCGTGTATGGAAACTTTCTGTTAACCAATTAACGTTTTTTTTTCACCGTAGCATTTTTACCGTTAAAATCACGATAGTTTTTCTATAGTGTACTGTCAGTTTATCTACTGTCGTGGCTTAGTTCTCTCTAACCAGAAAGTTTAGAGTATTTTTTAAGAACATGTATTTGTAATTTCAAGTCAAAGTCAAGTCAAAGTTTATTTATATAGCACTTTTTCAAAAACAACAAGTGTTTAACAAAGTGCTGTACACATACATACTTATGCGATAAGGACCAAACCAGCATGACCAAGATACAAGAAATAAAAGACAGTAATACAATAAAATAATAAGAGAATAAAACAAGAAAATAAAACAAACTCTCACACAGCGTCAAATGCCAAACTGTAATAATAAGTTTTAAGATTAGATTTAACAATAGTAATGGTTTGGGACTGCCTGATGTACAAGGGCAACCCATTCCACTAATTTGTTCTCAGCGTCTCCTTCAGTTCACTCTGTTTTTGGGACAATCTGTCCTAACGCTACAGGCCTAAAGATTTCTGAATCTCATTTCGTTTTGGAAAGATGGATAGTAAGGCAGAATATCCAGACAGGAATCCTGCCAGATCCTAACTTACGAGTGAGTGTGTGTGTGTGTGTGTGTGTATTGATTGCTATAAACGCACTGGAAAAAACTGGGTTGACGACCTTGTGTTGGGTCGTGTCCAGCGCTGTTAGTCCACTTTATGCAGTTTAAATAAAGGATGAACGCCGGCCATGAATACCGATCGCACACACTTAAGACCTGCACTAAACCAGCACTGATCCTACTCTTATTGATAATTTCACCAGTTTTATAGCTCTCACACACATCTTTATTGCAACCGTGTCTGTACTTGATCTCCTGGGTTTATCAATAATCGCAGTTCAAGTTTGATAAGCTCAAGTGTTTTTGGTTTCTAAAGGACAAGCGCTGAAATCCAACCTGCGTTCTCAACCTTCCTCACGTGTTTGTATAACACACCGCGGGTGTAAAGATGTAAAACAGGCGTCCTGAATCTAAACACACTCTCCGTCGCTTTCCAAATGTCGTTCCTCTGATGTCGCACTAGTTAGGGATGATGTATCCGAAGTATGCAGGGAAAATTAAATCACACCGCAGCTTCTGCACATTGTAAAAGCGATCTCTGAATTCAGATTTGATTATAGTTTGAGTAACTGGGAAGATGTGTGTTTACGCTGGGTTACGTGTCGGCATTTTACTGAATTACTGCGCGAGTGCGTTCAATTTGTTTAAACAGAGAAAGTCGTGAGGATGAAAGACAGAAGCTGTTTTAAAGTGATGTCGGGCACAGCATTCATTTAGAAACACGTTCATTTAGAGTTGTTTTCAAATGAGGATCTGGTCATGTGACAGGTCAGGATTGAAATCATCACATGGTGCTCAATGTTAGCAAATGTATGAGAATAAGTGTTGCGAAATACTTGTTTGTTATAGAAATGTTACATTAATAATAATCCAAATTTGTTGTATAGACGTTTGAATTTATGCTTCTGCTGGTTCATTAGTTTAACTACCTTAGTTAGCATATTAGTTAACTAATAATGAACTTGTGAACTAACGTGAACGTGTATTTCTAACTAACATTAACAAAGATTTACAAATTCAGCAACGAATGTATTGCTCGTTCATGTTAGTTAATACATGCTTATTGTAAAGTGTTACTGATTTGTTTTATTCACTCTCTCAGTCAACAACACTATACATTTATCATTTAGAGGTTATTAAACTCTAATGTTAAACAAATCAGTCAATAATCGGTTTTCTGTCCAAATCTATCATACTGATTATATGTAATCTAGAACAGTGGTTCTCAAAGTGGGGTCCAGGGGTCCGCGAGCTAAAGCCAGGGGGTCCGCGAAATAATTTACAACCTAACGTTTTTTTCCATGCTATGAGTCATGTTTTCTTTATCATCTGAAAACATGCTGTTTATTCCTAAGTAACTTATATAAAGCATTTAACATAAAACAATACAAAGTAGACACTTAAAGTTTTCTATAGATAGATAATCTATGTCTTTGCGTCAAGTAGACTATTCGCTGCTGTTGATTTTGCGGGACGTGCGCCAGAAAGGAGACAGAGAGACGGCATGAACCCGCATCCGGTTCTTTTCTGTATTTTTAAAAGGCATGACATTTTGTAGTCATTTATAATGTAGCCTATACACAAATAAAAAAATGGACACTTTACCGTTTCGGATGATGCACTCTTGTCTTATCTATGACCATAAATAAGAGTATTCCTGTTTCCACTGCTGAGGAAAAATTCCCATGTAATTGCGCGCCGCCGTCTCGCGTGCGCGCACAATAGTCAGTTCTAGCACTGCTACTGTAGATTTGACATTAGAAGTCTGATCATTATCAAAATAAAAGTGCATAGTGACAGGGCCGTACCCACAACTGAGGTTGCAAGGATGCACATCGCGATGATACTGACCTTCTCGTCTGAGGTGCTTCAGCAGACTAACAACGATAGCTCGTCAATGTCAAAATGTTTGAGTCGGAGTGAACTCAAAGTTCCCCGCACAAAGTTTCAGTCAACGGTCATAAAGTGCGAGATAAGATGTAGGCCTTTATTAACAAACAGCTGTTTTAGATAAAAGTTTTAAAAAACGACTGAAACAATCAGTTTGCAAAGTATTAATCAAGCTCAACTTTAACAAAGGAAAAAGCAGGTCAATAGAAACATACTGTGCCCATGAGATTAACATTATGGATTCATATATTTAACATATACTGTATGTTTTTTTAGCTAATTACAGTAGCTCAAATTAACAACGCACGCACCTATTAAACATAATGCCATTATCATTGTATTTATAGGCTTATGGGCTTTATTTGTGTGCAGAATAGGCCTAATTATTGAAACATTTCTCTTTTAAGGCCATTCCTGATTGGAATATGTGATTGTGTTTCGTGACATCTTGACAAAAAAAAAAAAATGTATGCCACTGACTGACATGCTTCTACTAAATCTATAGTTATCCAATTGTGGGGCCTTAAAACACCTTAAAATGCACATGTGTAGATCAAGAACATCAAAAATTCCTAAGTGAGGGATCCTAAGTGATTCCTAGCAAGATCACTTTCGTTATCTCAGTAGGCTATTTAGAAATTCCTGCATAGTACCCTGGGTGGAGACCATTCATTTTGTGCAAAAATATTTCATTTGCCGCTCACACATTAACTTTGTGCTCAATAACTGTTATAAATATGAGGGGGGTCCTTGGAATTTTTTTTCCCCTGAAAGGGGTCCCTGGCACCAAAATGTTTGAGAACCCCTGATCTAGAATACATAATTCTCTTCATATCTACTGTATGTGTTAAGGTAATGCTAAAAGTCAAACTCAAAAAGTAGTCAGAGTATATTACCTAAAATATGTAATGTAATATATCACATTACTAACTAGAATTTTCGTCATGTAATTTATATTCTGTAATGGACTACAGTTTGTGCATAATGTTTCCATCACGGTATATAAGGGTGATTTCTTTTTCCTTTCTTTTTTTGCTAATTTGACATGTTGGATCTTGACAGATCAAGTCATTTTCACGGTTTTGAGTAAATTAATATTAACAGTATGTTTCGAATATATGAGTATATATTGTACGATGATAGTGTGTGTGCTAATAGTGATAATATGACATTTTGGATCTTGACAGACAAGATTTACCATTTCAAAGTCCTACGGTTTTAAATACATTTTTGTTTTTTTAGTGAACTGTTCCTTTAAATGAATGAGAACAGATGAGAATTTGAGACAAAAGTGGATTAATGATTTAAATTTCAGTCCGTTTCTCATGGAAATGTATTGTACGATATAATTTGCTAATTTTAATCTTTTTTGATGCTAATTTGACATGTTGGATCACGACACAAACGTTTTTTGGTTTTATAGTGAACTGTTCCTTTAAATGAATAACAGATTAGACAAAAGTGAATTATTTATGAATAATGACTTGTATTTTAAAATTTTTGTTGCTAATATGACATTTTGGAGCCTGACAGATCAAGTCAGGTGTCTGTTTGCCTTTTCGGCTGTTGAAGAAAGCCATAGTTTTGAGTAAAAGGTTTCGAAATGGCGCTCCTTTAAATGAAGATTTACAGATTGTGCAAAAGCGAATGTGTGTGGAACGATCATCTCTATGCATTAAGGCTCACAGTGTAAATGTAATGGGAGCGAGAGCTCACCAGGGCTATTCTGCTATTTCACTGATGCACGGTAACCTCCAGGCCCCTCACACACACACACACACAGTTTCCTCTGTCCTGTCAGATCAGCTCGTTTCTGACAGCGTTTTGTGCCTCTGGAGTTCTGCACAGAGAATATCAGATGTGAAATGTAGAAAAATCCCTCAAACGCGCCGTGTCGCACAAGCGGAGAGATCACCAGAGTGTGTCAACTGACTGACTGCTCACACACACACACACACACACTCGCCACCTCAGCGTGTGCCATTTAAGACAGACGCCCGTGAGGGAGAGGAGTGTGTGTCCCCGCTCTGAATGTCATGAAGTAGCGTGTGTTTGTGTGTGTGTGTGTGTGTGTTTTGCCTCTGTTGGTTGAGGTCACGCTGCTTGTGGGGAAATAACTGTATAATTTTCCTTCTTTACTGTCAGATTGTATCACACACACACACACACACTCATTTTGTTTCACTATATTAGTAAGGACATCATGATATTTTCTATGGTCTAAACCAAACTCTTAAACTAAAACTACCATCACAGAAACATGTGCTGGTAAAAAACTAGGCTAGTACTGTATGTGCATATTACTTCACTATGTAAGTGAGGACTTTTGGCCCCCACAAGTACACACACCCAGAACCAACAGGCAAAACAAACACACACACACACTGTCACACTCACAAACATCAAACTCAGTCACACACACACTCGCACTCACATACACACACACACACTCTTTATTATCTCAGTAATAATTCCAATACTGTAATGAGCTGGAGCGCAAATAGATACAATTGCTAAAAGTAGCTAAAATTAAAATGAAAACAGAAAATTATTAATAAAATCCACAGTAGTGTCTCAAACACAGCCGTCATCAGACTCTCAATATTAGGGCTGGGTATCGAGTCACATGTTCAATTCGATTCGCATGCTCTCAGTTCGATTCGATTTCGATTCTCGATTCCTGATTTGATTCTCGATTAAACTATAATGAATATGTATGCAATACAAATTCTATATTTATAAAAAAAGAACAGGACATAAGTTTACTAGTGGTTAACTAATACAACGAAATTAAGAGCCACAAACCTGCATATAAAACTCTTTTTATTTTAGGTACACTATACACTAAATGCATACAATGAATAGACCGGATTTTGATGCTGGAAATTGGTCAAGTCATAACAGTCGCACAGCTTCATCAAACAGGATCAGGTTATTTTATGTTTAAGATAGATATCGATAAATAAATATATAAATATTTAGACATTTTTAATTACATTGATCTTACCTAAATGTTTGTTTTTACAATGGGGTCATTTTTTGTTAAGAGTTTATGCAACACATGGAAGCTTGATTTCAATATTTGAATTAAATTGAAAAATAAATACAATAGAATTAAGTTTTTTTGGGTATGTCAGAAATACAAACTGAATAAAGTAAGTCCAATGTAAAATAACACTGGGTAGTCTTTTTAGTCCAGACTGAATTAAATACATAGGCTATTAATTCTGATTGCTTACAATTAATGCTATATTATGTTGTTATGACAACAGAATTAATGATAGACACATATGGCTGCGTTCACTTTAAGAACTACCGGTAGTGCACCGATCATTACTGTCTCATTATAGTAGCCTACTGTCTGTCTGTCAGACGCGTTTAATGCTAATTTAAGACATAACCGACTGTCTTTACAAGGTTACTCACCAAGACCAGAGTGTTTTTAACTGTTAAAGCGATATAATCCAGGGATAAAACTTTTGTTTCTGGTGAGCTGTTTGTGAGGCGGATTTAGGCTGTACTGACATCTCTGAGAGTGCGCGAGCACGGGATGGTTTAACATTGCTTGAATGTTTAAACTGGTAAACGTAAAAAGACGTGAAAATGATAAACGTTAGTTACGATCATAGGTTACGATGCAATACTGGCCCGATTGTGCAAATGAATGTCCCGACTCCAAAACGCGAGTATGTGAAACGCTTGCCTAGTGCAGAGGGAGGAGACACAGCACCGCGAGCCCTTAATATGGAAAAAATCAATTCGTGGCCGTTGAGAATCGATTTTGAATCGACCGCATTTTAAAAAACGATTAATCGAAAAATCAATTTTTTTGCCCAGCCCTACTCAATATGAGCTCAAACATTTCTCATCCAATCTTACAACTACTAACTGTTTTGTGTCGTTCTGTTTCCCCTCAGGAGAAACGTGGGAAACAAAGGACATGAAGTGAACGAGAGGAGAACGACGTCTGAGTCTCAGTGACTCTCTCTCTCTCTCCTCTGGGCTCCAGAAAACAGTAAGCACACATTTGCATATCTGGTACATTTGTCTCCCTTTGTGGAACAAATGATGGAGGTTTGGCAAAACCTGCTGTGAAGATGATGAGATGCAGGAGAGAGTGTGTGAGAGATCATTAGAGGAATAGATCAGCCAAAAATCACAGTTACAATTTCATCTGAAGGGGGAAAAAAAGCACCTGCATGTTCTGCTAAACATCTCCATTTGAAGATCGCACAGATGAGAACATCACGACAGGATGTTCAGTTTGGGGTGAACGTCAGATATCGTTACAGTCAGTGGAGATCTGATGTACTACACACTGCTCAGACTCGACAGGTGAACAAAAACTTCTCGACTTCACACATTAAAATCAGGACATAGCATAGACGTATGTGTGTGACTTGTTGAGTGTGTTTCCCGTGCAACGCTGTAACCTCAACCTGTTTTGCAGAAGCTAAATTCCATGTCAATTTTAATTTTACGATGCTTTCGGGAAACACACACCTGTTCGATTCCCAGGGGAAAGCAAGAACTGATTAAATGTAAATGTGTACCTTACATGCAATATGATGGATATAATTGTACAAATAATTCTGCTGTTAAATCGATTAATCGTGATTAATCACACATCTAACATAATTTTTGTGTGTGTTTATATATTATATATAAATTATATATGTGTGTGTGTATTTATATACTGTATACACATATTTATACATATATATATATATACATATACATGCATATACAGAGACGCACACACACATAAAATGTATATATAAATATAAAAATAATATATACACCCATATGTAAACAAAAACCTTTATATTTGATACAATTAATCGCGATTAATTGATTTCACAGCACAAAAACATTATATATATATATAAAAAAAAGAATAATTGTACCTATTATTTTTTTCGGGAATTAGCTGATTTAAAATCACCTTTAAATCAAAAACAACTATTGATTTTTAACCCCTTAACGCCTGGATTTATATAGCTGTATATAAAAAAATGTTTTATGTGTGTTTTTGCCTTTAAGTAAATGGTAAATAATGTTGAGATTATCAATTTCACTTTTGCACAACATATAAATTGAAATTTTGGTATGTTGCAAATCTGCAACAGCAGGCATAATGGTCAATTTGGTATGTTGCAAATGTTCCTGACCGTGCGTAAAGAGGAAATAAGTCCGTCACTTTGCGATCCCACTAGAAACAAGTGCTTGTCGAAGGTCCTAGGTCCGTAGCGAATGTGCACTAACCGGCATTGGGGGAATGCAGACGTTATCTCGGCTGGTTGACTGAGTCAAACGGTTTGTTGCATATTTGTGACAGTGGGCGTTAAGGGGTTAATGCTATATATTTATCCATACATATCATTATTTCACAATCTTTAATCAAAAATGTTAATGCAATGACAACTCTTCTCTGATGGCGCTTCGAAACAACAACAATCAATCAATTCCCAATAGACATAATCAAGACCTATAGAGAAGAAAAGACGGTAGCAATTCCCTTTTCATGTCAAATTTGTCTCCAAACTGTAGTTCAGTAAACACACACACACACCGAAACACTCCTGACGAGGTCCTGCAGAAATCATTAGATGACTGTAAACCCAGCAGACGCTCAGTGACGCTCTCCTCTCTTCTCCTTCTCTCTTCTAGGTGCCACTGTTCAACTACAATCAACTAGTGCTGCACATAAATACCTCAGTACCAAGACGCTCGATGTTATTGACCCGCTGAAGTGTGTGTGTGTGTGAGAGATAGAGAGAGTGGGTGTTTGTGTGTGTGTGGAACAGCAGATGCTGCCAGTCAGTCTGACATGGTCCTGTTAGCCCTTCTAAATGATTTCAACTGCAACTCTATAAACATTATTCAGCTAAACACCCTCAACAACACTCACATAAACACTGTGTACATTCAACACACACACAGGCCAGTGTTAATGAACGTGCTTCTCGTTAAAGCAGAAGATGTCCATCAGCACAGTAAATAGGCCACACTGATGTGTATTATGTGTTGATGTGAACACAGTAGAGATAATCACGTGTTTTCTTTACCAGCCACCGAAAGACCTTTAAAATAGACGTATAAAATGAAAAGGTGTGTAATGACACACAGGTGACGTGCAGCATCTACCAGGAACGGCTTGATCAACACAATTTCCCTTCATCTTTACATATTTAATATTAATATTTATTAATTAAATAAAACATACATATATATTTTTTTTTAATTAATACATAATAGTATTTAATTATATAATATATATATATATATATATATATATACACTTTTATTATAAATTAGTTTTTTTAATATATATATATATATAGTATTCATATTTTATTAAATTTAATTTAAATATATAATATATGTATATATTATTGTGTATATATTTTTAATTATATATATTACTTTTATTTATATATAATCGATCAAATATAATTACATGATATTTTATATTAAAATGTATATCATTTTTTAATACTAAAATAGATGATAGCACATAAAATGCTGAAATAAAGTTTTTAATCATATTTTTAAAAAAGTGTCATTATTTTCCTATCTTGCCATTTTTAGTATCGTGCGATATTGCTATATTCCATTTGTCGTTCTGTTGCTAATATACAAATGTTTACTGTCTATTTTATTGTTTATTCAGTTGCACGAAGGAGCGTCTCGCCGTATACTCTCTGAATGTGGTGTGAGTGATCATGTGATCAGGTAACCCTGTTAATCTGTGTTTAGCACTGACTTGCATCGGAACACTTGTGTCAGGTGACCTCGGGGGGCGGGGCATTCTCATTCTACAGAGCGTTTGATTGGGCGAAGAAAACTGCAGACAACATGAGTCATCGATATTCTAGGTCAGTTTGAAACTAGTTTGAACATTTAAATGCTGAAAGTAAATTAAGAAGACAACTTTTAGCAGGATAGCAGCATGCAGATGAGCTCAGAGATTCAGACATGGACTAAAGGTCACAAACCTCACATTTTGATTTAATGTGCCCTTTAAGAGTGTTAGTAAGATGCTACACGGAAATTATTTTGTTAAATAAAAAATTAAAAAATAAATGTGAGAGAATTGTTACCCGTATATGCCCTTTCTCCATGAATTATAATGACAGTGATTTGTTTTTCTTGTAAAGATATCTATATCTGATGGTAAAGTATTGCTGTTAGGCTTTATGACGAAGGTCACATGAACAAACGGCGACATCTGTGGACTTCTACGGTAATCAATTTTATCGTTGCCATTTTATTTGTTTTAAATATTTATAATGTTGGTGAGAAAAGAAGATCTGCATATGCGATGGACGTCGTTTTGCTCATCTTTGACGGTATCGAGAGTAAAATGTCTCAATATTTTTTTTTTACAGAATATGGAAGTTTGTTGTGCATAATTTATTTAAAAATACATATATAAATAGTATGTATGTTGAAAATTAACTGTTAAAATAATTACTGCTGCATTCGTACAGTATATGATCACACTATCATTCATTCAAGCGCTTTTAAACCATCATTCCCGTTATGTATCCTCTTAAGTAGAGACTTAAATAAATGAGTTAAACAATAATAAATGAACGATCCTCTTCAGGTCTTAAAGTGACAGTGCCCTAATAAACCTGCTGTCTATCATTAATGTTAAACAACCAAAGACAGAGAAAATCACTCGCTGCTCTGGACTGAATAACTTTTGTAGCTTTAATAAGGATTAATCTATATTCAATTTATCATTTATGCATTGAAAACTTAAGTGTTTGATAACTTTATTTAATTTCTGTACCTAGAGCAACCTGAAAATCTTAAAGCACTATTTACAGGGTTACATGGGTCAAAAACAATGAAAACAATCTACTTTATTTGTGCATTTTATAGCAAGGCGGGTAAAAATCAACCGGTCTGACTGAGCCAATAGAAAAAATAACGTTGAGAGCCCTGATATGTTAAACGCACAGCTAAATGTGACATTTATTACAATGTGTTTATGTGAAGATTGTTTAAAAGTTCACTCAAATTAAACGTTTTTACACTTTCAAAAGCCTATTAAATGTTAAAGACATAATATGAGATGTAATCAGAATTGGTTTCAATGATATCGGCCTTCATTTGTAAAAAGATGCCATTAAATTTCAACTTAATTTTTGCAAAAGTATTACAAAATCGATTGACCACACTAATAAAAACCTTTAAACTGTATGTTAGATTGAAATGACATAGAAACCTACATAATATTTGACCAATTAATCGTTTTTATTGTCGTTTCTATATGATTTTTGGTGATTAAATGTGTAAGTATTACAATATTGATTGACCGCACCAATAAAAACCTTTTAACTGTATTGCAATGAAATGATATATAACATTTGAGCATTTAACAGTTTTTTATTGTAGCAGTAAAAAAAATCCTTTTCTTGTGAACCTTTGCGCGTCCCGGGAAATGCAAAGCGCGCTCCCGTCTGCATGTAACGCGCACCCAAAAAGACCGAAAGACGGTCATCAGTTAAACAGCATCTCACGAAACCTGTTCACTGTCAGTAAAGCCTCGAGTAAAGTGCGAACGAGACGATTGAAATTTTCTATTTCGCGTCATGTTCCCTCATTTCACGAATCCAAACAAAAGCGCAAGCAATCCATCAGTGCCAATCCACTGATAATCGATGCGCTGCTCGTGAGCTGTACAATAATCATCGGATGAACACAATTGGAATCAATAGCCTGAGTAATGAGCAGTCAATCTCTACTTTTCCCTCTGTGAAGTATTTGCTAAAGGTTTCAAATAGCAGATTGAGCCCGTGTCACGTGCACGCGCTTTGATTATCGATGAGAACAGCGATCTGATCAATCCCGCGCGCGCGAGTTCTGATCCATAAAGAGAGCAACAGAGGAAATAAACCAGTTTCATCAGGGATTTTACATGGAAACTACCAGCACTTGTCATTGATTTAATAACAGTGACCTACCCAAACATTAGTGCCTGATAAAGGAGCGTGATTGGCTCATTTTCAATTTTTTTAATCACTTTAAACTCTAATCAAACTTAAACTAAACAGTCAAATAATACACTGAACTGTACTCGGATAATTAAAAAAAAACTATTAAACGCGCATTGGGTAAATCCTCCATCCAGCACCCATTGCGCACAGTGATTTGCACATTTCTGTTGAGCAGGAGACAAATATACGAGTTTGATCGAGTTGTTTTTGTTAGAGGTCTGTGATCGTGATGTGTCACTAATACAACCGTGAACAAGAGAGCAAATCCCGTCCATCAAATCAGATGGAGACACACTTTCGCGTCAGGAAATATAAAAACACTTTATTATATAGCCTAGTATCCGACCTGTGCTGACGCTTTTGCATTATTTAATGCAGATGCAGAACGTCCATCAGACTAAATAGATGTGGAAATGGTTACATAATTAGTCCATCCAGTGTGTCTGGAGTTCAGTGCGCAGACGCTTTTACGCGCAACTCAAACGCCAAATGCGTTTCTTTTAAACCTGATTTGTTCGGTCGGATAAGTTAATGCTCTAGCCAAAAATGTCCAGAACAATTCAAATTGGTTTGTGCGTAAATCCCGCTTTGGTTGACTTCAGTTGGCGCGTTTTCCAGCTCCGCTTTCCTCTGATTGCGCGGTGTAAATGAACCCTGCTCAATGAAGTCTTTAAGTTTCTTGCATGCTTGAGTGAGTTATGAAATTAAAAGCGCGTGAAACGTCAAGTTCAGCATCTCAATCCACAATGATCCTCGTTTCCAATCGATTTCAGCTTCAGCAAAACATTTTTACAAAAATCTTTTTTTTTCTGAGCGGGTTTTTGTCCGCCTTGTGTTTATTGCACGTGCGCGTTCGTCTGTTTGCTTATGCGTGCTTCGGCTCTGGTGTTATGAAGCAAATCTGTGGGAATGTTTAGTGGATAACACGCAGAGTTGTTCCTACCTGATCTCAGTCGCTGCTGTTGCTCTCCGGGTCCGCTCGCTCGCGCAGCTGGACGTCTGAGGACATGATGCTGGACCTCGGAGATCTGCTCGTGAGTGATCGCGAAGTGAGGAGTGGAAATGAGGAGTAGGAGAGCAGGAGGGGAGGGGAGGAGACCTTTACAGCATCATTCTCACATCATCAACACAATATCTTCTCGTGCTGTGTTTACGAGAAATGCGTTATGATGCATCAGGCTCGGGGTTTTATACTCAATCTCGTGGAGAAATAGATGCATGTGTTTGGGTGCATCGCGTCGTGTGATTGAGCTACCGATGGATCGATTGAGGATTAAACGGGATTTGAGCTGTTTTTGCGCGTCACAGTTAACCGCAAAACCCTTTAGCGCCAAAATATAGAAAGTGAACCGTGGTCAAATTAATAATCACAGTGTCACCATTATGATGCACGTGCAAAAACTTGTTTGCTACATGTCAAAAATAAAGTATGATTATTTGATATACATCGTATGTGATAATGGTTACTCATTATGTTATTGACGTAGCCTTCTTCAGAAAATATCATATCCATTGCATATGAGAGTACCGTTACTATGTCCAAATTACATACATTATCATATACCAGTGTGATATTTCCGATATAATTAAAAGATAAGGATCAGTAAACAAACACCCAGAATATAAATCACATAGCAACATCCTAGCGATAACCTCTTAGTTTGTATTGTTTATATATCGTCACATCTTAAGGATGAGTTTTGAGTTTTAATTTTTGGGTGCACTGGCCCTTTAAGGGAATTTAATGAGTTTCCAAACGTTACTTTTTTAATGTTCTCTGAACGTTCTGAATCCAGTAGGATAACATTAAGAAAATGTTAGATGAACACAACGCAACATATAAATAACGTTTTTGTTTAGTGACATTATTAAAGAGCAGATCACTCAGAATTAGTGTTCTGTTGATGTTACTGGAGGAATGTTTATTCATAACTTTGCGAGAACCTCGCCATAATATTCTGAGAACATTCCATATTAGCCGAGACATATGAGATATATTTACAGACTATCCATGATGATTATAATGATGACTTGCTTTATGTTACTTAAAGTTCACTTTAAAACAACTTTTGCTGATAATTTACTCACCCCCATGTCATCCAAGATGTCCATGTCTTTCTTTCTTTAGTCGAAAAGAAATGAAGGTTTTTGATGAAAACATTCCAGGATTTTCTCCATATAATGGACTTCAATGGGGACCAAACGGTTCAAGGTCCAAAAGACACTTTCAGTGCAAACTGTTCAAAGGGCTTTAAACGATTCCAAACAAGTTCTTTTTTCGAGTCATTTGGTTCATTCAACGAACGAAATGAATGAAATGACTCTGGAAAAGATTCTTTCATTTTGATGATCGAGTTGATCGAACAGGAGAGTCACGAACGCGCATCACAGAACAGAGCAAGGCGATCATTTGAGCTTATAAAACTTAAACTTTGTTATTTATTTATTAAATGAGTGATCGTTTCACTTGATAAGACCCTTATTCATCGTCTGGAATCATTTAAAGCCCTTTGAACAGTTTGCACTGAAACTGTCTTCTGGACTTTGAACCGTTTGGTTCCCATTGAAGTCCATTATATGGAGAAAATCCTGAAATGTTTTCATCAAAATCCTTCATTTCTTTTCGACTGAAGAAAGAAAGACATGGACATCTTGGATGACACGGGGGTGAGTAAATTATCAGCAAAAGTTTTTCTAAAAGTGAACGACTCCTTTAAGTAACCATGATCACTTTGGCACTGGTGTGATTCACTGAAGCACTGGCGACTAACCTGTAACCTTTTGCCCGTCGATTAACTCCGAGAGATCAAAGCGGCTCTCGGATAATACTGATGATGTTTTGATTGTGTTCCTACATGAAGTACCACGGTATTATTACCATATGCAGCCGTTTAACATAATGGGGATGATTTTGGAAATAATGCAATTCTTTGAAGTACCTTGCAGTATTTAAATATGTTAATGGCGTGTTTCAAAGGACGATAGAATTACCGTAGTACAACCGAGAAAGTGTGTGTGTGTGTGTGTGTGTGTGAGAGAGAGAGAGAGAAAGTGTGTGTGTGAGAGAGAGAGAGTGTGTGTGTGTGAGAAAGAGAAAGAGAGAGTGTGTGTGTGTGTGAGAAAGAGAGAGAGAGTGTGTGTGGGTGTGTATGAGAAAGACAGAGTGTGTGTGTGTGTTTGAGGGTTTTCAAGCATCAATGTGTTCGATTGCAGTGTTTGAGGATGTGAAGATTACACTGACATCTACTGGGGAAACTCTTGCGGTGTGTGTTTTAGTAACCAGAGGCTCCATTCATGTGTGTGTGTGTGTGTGTGTGTAGTTTGAGCTTTGGTTGAATAATTTGTTGAATTTGGTTGATAATTCCAGTAGCACAGTCCCTCACAGTGTGTCAAACACACGTTCACACACACACACAATGCAACCAGCCAAGCGATGCAACATCCCATAATGTCTCTCAGCTTCAGTCTCTCTCTAACACTGCTGTGCTGCTTAATGAGAGAGGGCAGTACGAGTTGGAGAGTTTGATCAGGAGTTAGTTTGATCTCTGTGTTTAATTAGCATCTTCTGCATTAGTTCACATGCCAATTTAGAGCAAGATATCGGCGTCCACTCCGAATATATATATATATACACGTCTATAGCGGCACAATCCAATCAGGAGGGGGTTTAATTGACAGCTACTATTAGAAGAGCCTCCATTCCTCTTATTTAGCAAAGGAACCGCACACAATACACACATGCAATCAGCGCGCAGCGATAGCTTTGTGTGTGTCGCGAGGAGAGAGCCGTATGGAGCGAGGGAAGGGGAGACGGGAGTGATTGTGTGATTGTCTCAGTTTAAACGAACTGTCCATCAGCGCCTGTCACTCTCACTGGGGCTCGGGGACCAGGACACACACACACACACACACACACCACTGAGAGGGGACTAACCGTACTGATGCAGTTATAAGTCAAGCATCACTGTTACCAGACTTATCATTTGTATCTTTCTAGATCGTTCTAATAATGTTGGGATGTGAGAGTATGTTAGTCTCTTCTGCTCACCAAGGCTGCATTTATTTCATTAAAAATACAGAAAAATGCTGTAAAAACAGTGAAATATTATTACAATTTATATATCTGTTCTCTGTGTGAATATACTGTAAAGTGTAATTTATTCCTGAATTTATCATCATTACTCCAGTCTTCAGTGTCACATGATCCTTCACAAATCACTCTAATATGAGGATCTGATGATCAAGAAACATTTATGATTATATATATATATATATATATACTCAAATAGAAAAACAGGCATTTTAATTTGTTATAAAATTAAACAAAATTAATGTTTTTTTTATCAAATAAAGTCAGCCTTGATGAGCAGAAGAGACTTCTTTTAAAAATATTTTAAAAAAATTACAGATCCAAAACTTGATTTGTGGTTTATATTATGAATATTCACAGCTCTCGTGTGTGTATGTGTGTTTCAGGGTCTTTAAGTGTCTTCCTAATGTCTCTCTTAGTGTGTGTGTGTGTGTGTGTGTGTGTGTGTGTGTTTCAGGGTCGTTAAGTGTCCTCCTAATGTCTCTCTCTCAGTGTGAACGGACCCCCGGGAGTCGGCGTGTAAACCTGTGGTCAATCCTCGCGGCCCATCAGTGTGTCTCCTGGGTCTTGGTGTGTGTGTGTGTGTGTGTGAAGTGTTCAAGTGCTGCTTTTAGTGTCAGGAAACACTGCGCTGGATTAAAGGCCTGTCACTGAAGGCATACAAAAGGTAAGATCCAAATGCAGTGTTTATTTAATCCATAATCATCGTCAGCCAGCAAAGGGTCAACATCCATAACACACAGTCCAAAAACAACAAACACACAAGACTCGACAACTAACACAGAAACAGACAGGTGCAAACAGTGTGAGTGGGAACGACTGTGTGCAATGATCAGTGTGAGTCAGACTAGGCAAAGGGTTATGGGAAATGCAGTTCATGATAAGGGTGACGATCAGGGAAAGAGACCTCTAGTGAAAACCCAGACACTGTTACAAGGACAGCCATCGATCGACCGAGAGAGACAGCATCAATACACACACGTTCACTGAGAGTCAAACACACTGCTGTGAAATCCCCACTCGGACTGTATAACATTAACACACGTGTCTCCGCATGAATGTGTATTTCTCAGGATGAGTTGTTTCTTACAACATCTTTCACACTGAATTGTTATAAAAAGGGAAAGCGTGTCATTTTTACAACATGAAATATTGCTTTACACATGTCAAAATGATCAAAAAATGCATTATAAAAGTATTTTATTGTAATAATTATGCATATTATTTCAGATGTAACAAGCTATAAGGCATTATAACATACAGTATATTACATAAAAAATTAAGGTAACACTTTATTTTACAGTGTCATTGTTGCAACAGTAATGACAGTAAATTATGCACAGCTACATGCAACTAAACCAAACCCTAACCCATAAATGTCCTCACTTAATGTTATTCAGCACTTAAATGTAGAGTTAGTGTAATAAAGACTCCTGGATATGTAAAGTCTAACCAAAATGTTTCTGCCACTTTCTCCATGAGCTACCGAGACGCTATTCAGATTCATGTAGTCTTGAGTGTGTATTGCATCATTCTGTGCCGCTGAACGAAACTCCCACAATCCTTTAGGGCAAAAAGTTGCTCCCAAACACAAGAGGAGTCGCTGTTTCAACAAACCAATGTTAGTATTCAATATTCATAAAAAACGACTGTAGATCATGGTGAACGTCTCTCTCAGAGGAAACAGCAGCTCCTCTTCTTCCTCTCACTGTGTGTGTGTGTGTGTGTGTGTGTGTTCATGGCTTTATATCGTGAGAGAAGCGCATGTTGACAGTGAATAAACAGGGAGGCGTGACATTGCTCTACTTTCCTCTTGTTAAGTGATTCTGTTCTTCATAACCTCCAGCGATGTGTCCCTTTGTTAGGTGTTGAGTGATGTGTGTGTGATAACGTGTGTGTTTCTTCGTGACACAGGCCTCCAGCTGTCTCTGACCCACAATCCCACTGGATGAACATGGAAACAAGGATCGAGAAAGAGCGATGTTAAGTGTTTGTGAGTAACAAGTTCAGACACACTTATAAATGTTGTTTAATTATATAGCAGAAGATCAAATCTAGTGTATTGATTGTAAATAAACACATCCAAAATAAAAGTTTGTGTTTACATAATATATGTGTGTGTAATTATTTTGTATTGCTAAATACACACACACCTGCATGTATATGTTTAAGAAAAATGTGTTATTTATATATAAAATATTTCTATTTCTATATATATATATACATTATATACATGCAAATATTTCTTATATATATACTGTATATATGCACGTGTGTGTGTTTTTATATATACAACATAATTACACACACATATATTATAACTCAAACTTTTATTTTGGATTCGATTATTTTGATTTTTTTGTGGGATGCATTTTTTCATCTTTGATGAGTAGAAAGTAAAAAAAATCATTTATTTTAAACATAAATCTTTTGTAGCATTATATACTGTCACTTTTGATCTATTTAATGTGTCATTGCTGAATAACAGTATTAATTTCATTAAGGAAAATCCTACTTACCTCAATTTTTTTTAATTATCACGGTTTCCATAAAAATATGACATTGATAATAATCATAACTGTGTGTTGATCATCAGATCCTCCTATTAGAGTGATTTGTGAAGGGTCATGTGACACTGAAGACTGGAGTAATGATGATAAATTCAGCTTTGATCACAGTAATAAATCACACGTTACTGTATATTCACATACATTGGAATCATATTTCACTGTTTTTACAGTATTTTGCTCATAAATGCTGTGGTGAGCAGAAGAGACGACTTTTAAACCATTAAAAAATCATAATTATTCCAGTCTCTTGGCCGGTAGTGTGTGTAGGTGTTTATCATGAAGTAAGACAGCTAGAAGACTTAAGTCATACTGTGGTCTCGTAACATTAATCTCTCTTTCACACACACACACACACACACACACACACACACGGCGGCTTGTGTTCGCCCTTCTGCTGAGCTCTGCTCGTTTTTCATGGACTTAAAGTCTCGTATTTAAATGCATTTAGATATGACAGATGAAACACCCGCAGTACTGCACGCAAACATTGCTCTTTGTGTGTGTGTGCGTGTGAGTGAGTAAGTGTGTGTGTGTGTACATGTTTTTCTATCCCGGTGGGGACTTAAACCTGAATGCGCACACACACACACACACTCACGGGCACTCTAAAGTGAGGAAACAAGCTTTTAAATCATACAGAATGAGTTTATTTGAAGATGTACAAAAACACAGAGAGTTTTGTGTGATGGGAAGGTTTAGGAGTCGGGTTAGTGTGTGTGTGTGTGTGATAGGTAGGTTTAGGGTTAGTGTGTGTGTGATGGTAGGTTTAGTGTAAGAGGAGAGAAACAGTATAAAAACCTTTAAGTCTACAGAGAGTCCCCATTTAGCTAAGTAAACGTGTGTGTGTGCGTGTGTGTTTGTTTGAACGTCTTAAGCCGCTGCTTTAGAAGCATGAGCACTCGGAGGTGTTTATCAGGAGACCACACACACACACACACACACACACAGTATGTGTGTAAATGCTCATTGTTTCAGGCCTCTCATGTTCCATTAGTGTTGCCATTGTTTCTGCCAAAGTGAAGCTGCTCGTGTGCATCAGGGACACACACACACACACACACACACACACACACAGCTCCCCAGATCCATCTGAACATGTTAATTGAGCAGAATGTTGATTTCAGAGCCGAATGAGGTTGTTTTTCAGGAGTGACCGGGATAATGAGGGACGACCGCTGGGTTTGTGGGACCCTGGAGCCTCACTGACACATTTATTATAGTTAACTAAGCCCAAAACCTTAAAAACAAGTTTGTTCCTTGAAATAAAGGAAATGTTAAGTGAAATAAATTTTCCCAGGTTCTCCTGCTTGAATGTTGATTATTCTCCTCATATTCTCCATTGTTGCGGCTCCTCTCTTCCCAGTCTGTCAGTAACGCTCTGTTTACTTCCTGTCTCTGTGAATCACACTGCGCTCTGATTGGTCGGCTGGAGCAGTTGTTACCTTACCTTGGTTTAACACACTACTAACTAACTCAACCAGGCCCCGCCCCTTTATTCTGTGATAATTATTATAATGAGGAATATTGTGACGTGTTCGTTCTTGAACGGAAACTGATTTTGGTCAAATACATTCAATTCGTTTACCTAAACGTGTTATTTCAAGGAAAGCCTCGAATAGTATTTTCTTGTAAAACACACTCCAGTAATAAACTTATAAAATATATTTTTCCCAGTGCACAAACACACAGTAATTATCAACTGTTTATAAAACGGATAGTTACGGTCCTTGATTCTGATTGGTTGAGCCGCGTTCAAAGCCGTTGTAAATTACTCAGCAAACACACACACACACACACACACACCTGTGAGCGCATTACATTAGTGTTAGACACACACACACAGACACACACACACACCTGTGAGTGAATTGAATGAATTTCTCATTCATAATTTCTCTTATTTTTGAGTTTCTTGCTGTTGTTTGTGAGATAATAATACTGTGATGTCTTCAGTTTCCCACAATGCACCGCGGCAGCCATAAATAATGTGTATTACCCACATACCCTGCTTTTATTCACGCTGTTGCTGTTGTGTTTGATGATTATGAGCTCATCTTATACTTCATGTGTTTTGATGCTTGTCCGGTTCTGCGTGCCTGTGTTTGTTGATTATTACGGGGTGTGTGTGTGTGTGTGTGTGTGTGTGTGTGTGTGTGTGTGTGTGTGTGTGTGTGTGTCCACCGTGCGGTGACGGCTCGCTCCTAGTGTAGTTTGTGTATGAAACTTACACTAAGTATGTGTGTGTGTGTGTGTGCGTGTGTCTATATGTAAAAGTGTGTGTGTGTGTGTGTGTGTATAAGACCCTGCCACGTAACAAATGGAGTGAGTTAATGTCCAGAAGCTCCTCAGAGAGGGCAACTCAGAAGAGTAATTAGATGAAGTGATAGAAAGATGGAGCGAGAGTTATTCATCTTACACTTCTGGCAGTCTCTGTGTGTGTGTGTGTGTGTATTCTCGTTCCCCGGTAATGCCAACACTGCTCAGAAAGTTGCCAAGTGTATCATCACCTTAAGAGCAACACCAAACTCTGCGCACAGAAACAGAAGCTGATTTAAACTCTTATTTAAGCTGACAGACCAGAACTCGTTAGTGTGTGTTGTCTGAGGGAAAGTTCACTGGTTAATTAAAGCGCGTCGACAGTGGAGAGTAAAAACACTTCAGTGAGTCGGGTCGAATCTCCAGACGTGTGTGTCTTAATGTTCAGATTCAGCGTCACACAGCAGTGAAGCCGTGAATGACCTTCTTAATTAACTGCGCATACGTCCAGATTTATGACTCCTCTTTAATTACTCGACACTGTCGTCTCGGGTTAAAGGTCACGCTCCACATCTCAGGGGAGCGACTTATGATAGTTTTGTCCAGACGCTGGTGAGCTGTTCAGCCGATCGGTGCATCTATTACAAGAAAGACAACCACAGTGGACCTGAATGTCAACAAGTAGAAATACGTCACAAGCAATTCATGTTGGTCGAATGCTAGAAGCATAACAGATTTCATCCAGTCGATGTTGGCAGTAGAATATCAATATCAAATGAAGTAGTTCATTTTACCTATATTTTTATTTTGGAATTGGTCACAAGTCAATTCAGTTCAAATTTATTTGTAAAGCACTTTTCACAATACATATCGTTTCAAAGCAGCTTTACAGAAAGTGCATTTCAGAAATGTACATAGAAAAATAGAATTAGTTAAAGGAGTAGTTCACTTTTGAAAACAACTTTTGCTGATAATTTACTCACCCCCATGTCATCCAAGATGTCCATGTCTTTCTTTCTTCAGTTGAACAGAAATAAAGGATTTTGATGAAAACATTCCAGGATTTGCTCCATATAATGGACTTCAATGGGGTCCAAACGGTCCAAGGTCCAAAAGACAGTTTCAGTGCAAACTGTTCAAAGGGCTTTAAACGACACCAGACGATGAATAAGGGTCTTATCAAGCGAAACGATCACTCATTTAATAAATAAATAACAAAGTTTAAGTTTTATAAGCTCAAATGCTCGCCTTGCTCTGTTCTGTGATGCGCGTTCGTGACTCTCCCGTTCGAACTTTTTCCGAGTCATTTGGTTCGTTCAACGAACGAAACAAAAGAGTTGACTCAGAAAAAGATTCGTTCATTTTGATGAACGAGTTCGAACAGGAGAGTCACGAACGTGCATCACAGAATAGAGCAAGCAGAGCATTTCAGCTTATAAAACTTAAACCGTTTGGTTCCCATTGAAGTCCATTATATGGAGAAAAATCCTGGAATGTTTTCATCAAAAACCTTAATTTCTTTTCAACTGAAGAAAGAAAGACATGGACATCTTGGATGACATGGGGGTGAGTAAATTATCAGCAAAAGTTTTATTAAAAGTGAACTACTCCTTTAATTATGTATTAATTTAAGTCATAACAAGTCGACAAGTCATCCAATAACTGACTAATTAAAGAGGAACAGTATAAAAATAATACTAAATTAAAACTGGTGCTTTATCTGTTAGATATTTCACAGTAAAATGCATTTTTGTTTTTAATGTGTGTTGATATATAAAAAAATTATATAAAGTTACACTTAATAAATTTTTTTGATGATCATAAAGCTTTTTCTGAAGAAACGCAAAGGTTTGTCTTGATGTCACTGTATTATTGTTTTTGAAGGCAATTATGAGAAACGTCTGATCAGGTGACTTGACTATTTGTTCATGCAACGCAGCAGAAAACTGATTTTGTCCTTTTCCAAATCGCGTGTCACACACACACACACACACCGCATATTTCTGACGAGCATCTTTGTTCCGGTGTAGAGGAGAGCGCTCATCCGTCCTCCAAGTTTCAGGCATTGGGAAGCAAAATTATTCGTGTCTGTGTGAGACAGGCTAATCAGAGAGCAGAGCGGGTCTCAACGGGAGCCAATCACAGTGCAGACACTTGTGTGTGTGTGTGAGTTTGAGAAGTGAACTCGTCTGAGGTCATGCAGTAATGAAGCGCTGGTGATTCACGGATCTTAATTGCAGCACAGATCTGTAATTCAGAGCAGGGACATTAAGCATCAGGTTTGTGAGCTAAAGGGAAATTAGTGTGTGAGTGTGTGTGTGAGTGTGTGTGTGAGTGTGAGTGTGTGGGACACTGAAGCTAAAGCTGTTTCTACAATCTCTCACCCTTTAATCAAAGCTTAACCCTGTGTTAACAGACACACCTGGAAGATTACCAGCATTCCCGTCCATCAAACCCCATCTCTACTCCTGCTGCGCAAATCTGGTAAACTACAGTAATATAATGAAATATATGTTGTTATGGTACTTCAATACTGTTAAGCCAATGAAATAATAGTCTGAAATTAATTTTTTGAGGTGAAACAGTTCATTGAACCTTTAGACTATATATTAACAAAGTTTGCATAACCGTATACAGTATAATATATATATATATATATATATATATATATATATATATATGAAGAGTTCAGATGCAAAAGCCTCTAAGTGCCATTTGAAGTTTTCTTCTAGAATGATCGTTTTTATCAAGCTTGTATATTTAAGTTCAGTAATTTCACTTAAATGGCAATGATTATTATCTATTAATTGTCATTTAAGTGAAATTACTGAACTTAAATATACAAGCTTGATAAAAATGGTCAGTTTAGAAGAAAACTTCAAATGGCATTTAGAGGCTTTTGCATCTGAACTCTTCATATATATATATATATATATATATATATATATGCCAAAATCGTTTCTTGGCATTAGAATCCAACAGGAACACTTTACTTGTTTCATAATGAATCAATGAATCTCTTGAATGAACGATTCATTGGCTCACTCATTAAGGCTTCACTTATTTCATTACCAGATAAATCAATGAATCTCTTGAATGAACGATTCAATGACTCACTCATAAAGGCTTCACTTGTTTCATTACTAGATGAATCAATGAATCTCTTGAATGAATGATTCATTGGCTCACTCATAAAGGCTTCACTTGTTTCATTACCAGATAAATCAATTAATCTCTTGAATGAACGATTTAATGAATGTATTAATTATTCGAAGACTCACTTGTGAAGATTCCTCTTGTTTCATTTCTAGATGAATCAGTGATTTTCAAACGAATTTTCCAATCAATGATTCAATGACTCACTCATAATGATTTCAATTGTTTCATAACTGTATGAATGAGACTTTTTAAACGAATCTCTTGAATGATTCAATGACACATTTTTAACAGTCTCTTGGTATAACGAAGTAATGGATACAATCTTTACTTGAAGCGTCAAGTTACTATCGCTCTATTTTGATCACTACTGCAGACATCAGTGTTTATATTCCAACTATAAACTTGTATGGCAGTATTTCTGTGATATGTATAATTATTATAACACAGAAATAATGATACTGTGGTTGAAAAGACTGTTTCACACTGAACATGACGACTCACTGGACCAGAACACAGATCTGAATCAGTGTGATCGTACTTAGAGCCGAATCACTGTGATTTAGGACTGATTCATGCGTTTGAATCGAGATTAAACAAACTACAAACACAAGAGATCTGACTGAAAAACACATGCGTCTTCGTTCAGTGTTCGCTCATCGAGAGCCGTGTGGTCAGGAATTGTGAATTGCTTGTTAATGCACACGCTTACATCCGTCTCTTCTGATCATCTGTGCCATCGTCCTCTCTCTCTCTCTCTCTCTCTCTCTCTCTCTCTCTCTCTCTCTCTCTCTCTCTCTCTCTCTCTCTCTCTCTCGGCTCCTGAGAGCTTTTTAAACAACATCACCTCAATTATGGCTCTCAGACGAGCCGCTCTAAAAGCCTGAGCCGCAGTCAATCGCAGTCAATGCTTTACAGAGACACACACACACTTCTTACACACTGCATTGTGTACTTGAATCTGAGAGAGAGAGAGAGGGAGAGAGAGATGCCCCGTCTACTGCACTACACTGCCTTAAGAGGAAAACAGTGTTACATACAGTCAAACCGAAATGTATTCAGACATTTCTCACATCATCGGTTTATTCGCTATAGTTCATGACCTCAGAGGATATAGTCAAATATCCTCTGAGGTCATGAACTGTTTGTCCGTCCTTCTGTTGGACTCTCACACATGAATTATGTTGAGTATCTGTCAGCTGTTAAATTGAACTCCACAATTAGACAATAGCAGTTTAGCTCAACCAGTGACCAAGCAATGCTTCATGTTGTTCAGTGTGTGTGTAAAAGGAGCATTAGCGATTACAGAAAACATCATCAGCTCAAAGTGGAGGAAGAATATTTGGTGCCATATTTTTGACTGGTATAGTCGCTGTATGAAGAATATCTGGCTGTAATATGTCAGTTTACTTTATTTTGCTCTCCTCACTCACAGAAGTGAACTATAGTGTCCTGATCACACTACAAAAGAAATATCATAAATCTGAATAATTTTTGGTTTGACTGTATGTGAATTATTTAAGACACACGGGAGACTCGTTTTCACTAAACTAAGAATGCATCAAGCCACTGATCATAAAATCCTCTAAATTGATCAAAACTGTAGATCAAAACTGTCTCGCACACATTCCCCTTCAGTCCTTCTGTCTCTGATTGACAGTTCAGAATTTATTAGTAAGTTATTAGTAAGTAGTTCACTTTAAAAAAAAACTTTTGCTGATAATTTACTCGCCCCCGTGTCATCCAAGATGTCCATGTCTTTCTTTCTTCAGTCGAAAAGAAATGAAGGTTTTTGATGAAAACATTCCAGGATTTTCTCCATATAATGGACTTCAATGGGGACCAAACGGTTCAAGGTCCAAAAGACAGTTTCAGTGCAAACTACAAACTGTTCAAAGTTGTTAAAATGATTCCAGACGATGAATAAGGGTCTTATCTAGCGAAACGATCGCTCATTTAATAAATAAATAACAAAGTTTAAGTTTTATAAGCTCAAATGCTCGCCTTGCTCTGTTCTGTGTGACTCTCCTGTTCAAACTCGTTCATCAAAACGAACAAATCTTTTTTCGAGTCAGTTCGTTCATTTCGTTCGTTGAATGAAGCAAATGACATGAAAAAAGATTCTAGGTGTTTGTTTAATTTTTAGTTTTAAATGTATAATTTTAGTGCTTCAATTCAAACTTATTTGTGTTTAATGCCAATGCAGTGTTGCTCACAGAGTCCAGTGTGTCAGGAGCTCATAGTGGAGACGGGCACACAATATAATTATGAGTATATAATAATAATAATGTATAAAGAATGATATAATAAGGTTTCCCTCGTATCTCATGATGTTTGTGGTCGACCTCACAGAACAAAACCACACGAACCGAACCCAACTACAGCAGGAAGAACTCCAATCCCACATGCATCAACTCCTTCATTTATCTCTCGCTCGCTTTCTGTGTGTGTGTGTGTGTGTGTGTGTCTGTAATCCTCTCTGCAGATTCACCAGGTCACTGATCTCAGAGCAGTCTGGATTTAAAATGCTTTTGTTACTGTTCAAATTTGAGTCAAATCCCCTTACACACACACACATACACAATCAAAGACACACATACTTAAACAGTCACACACACATACACAATAAAAGACACTCGCGGGTGCGTACACACACACACACACACACATACACACTCAGTCACACTTGCACACACATACACAGTCACACCCGCACACACACACACACAATCAAAGACACACTCACAAACACACACACACACAGTCACACACACACACACACACATACACAATCAAAGACACACTCGCGGGCGTGTACACACACACACACATACATTTACACACTCAGTCACACTCGCACACACAACACAAATAAACTTTGAGAAATGTCAGTGCACACACACACACATACTCCCTCACGCACACACGTATGTGTATGTGTGTGATGGGTATGTTAAGGGGCCGGGTTAGTGTGTGTGTGTGTGTGTGTGTGTGTGTGTGTATGATGGGCAGGTTTAGGGGTAGGGTTAGTGTGTGTGTGTGATGGATAGTGTAAGAGGAGAGAATACACAGTTTGTACAGTATAAAAACCTTTACGGCTACTGACGCTATGTAAACCTGTGTGTGTGTGTGTGTGTGTGTGTGTGTGTGGAGAGAGACTGTGGAGTCAGGAGCTGTTTAATGTCACTCTTCCCCTGCAGGGTGGATAAAGAGAACGAGAGCGACTCCTGCATAACTCTCTTCAATACTGGATTGTGATATTTCTGCAGAATGACTTTAAACTGCATGATTTATTGTTATATCTCAGTTAATACTCTCGTTGCCCTCCACAGAATTTATCAATTCAATTATTGAAATCATTCATTTATTTATAAAATGGCATGGCCAAAAAAAAACATTTAAATAATTAAAAAATAAATAAATAAATATATTAAACCATTGTAAGTACTTGAAAAGTATTTAAAGTAAGGTTTTTGGGGGTTTTTTGTTGTTGTTTTTTTTTTTTTTTTGCAATTTGAGATTTTATGCATCAAAGCAATAAAATCTGATTGTGATTAATTACTGTATTTATTATGGAGGATCACATAAAATAGGAATTTATTAATTAATATCATTAATATAGTTACAGAATGACATGCCAAAACTAATTTAAATACTTAAGAAACACTTAAATATATTAAACCATTGTCAATATTTCCAGAATGTAGTTTAACTTCATAAGCACATTATGCTGCTGGAGTGTGTGTTATCATATTGTGTGTGTGAGCCATAATATAAAATACTGCAGCAGATATTCCTTCTCTTAAAGAGGCTAGAAGTGTCAGATGAACCCACCGAGATTATTCACAGTCGTTTATCAGCAGAGTTTCTCTTTATCTGTTCAACACAGAGTCGCCGACGCAGACCCAATATTGTTTATAATATAATATCGTGTGAGAGATGAGCCGAGGGCCTTTTAGAAAGTATATTTCAACGTGACCTCATTAGTATTCATCGTTATCGCTCTGTGAGTTTAGTTCTGGCACACGTTTACAGCGCACAACATCTCACTGCTTCATCTAATTTATAATAAATGAGATCAATTAAATATATTAATTATAATATATTTATTATATACAATATATATATTTTATTATAATTTATTTGCATATGTTTTGCAATTTATTTACTGTGTTCTCATATTTTCTGCAATTTATTTACTTTAATCTCATATTTTTTGCAATTTGTTTGCTGTATTCTCTTATTTTCTGCATTTTATTTACTTTAATCTCATATTTTTTGCTATTTATTTACTTTATTCTCATATTTTCTGCAATTTATTTACTTTAATCTCATATTTTTTGCAATTTGTTTACTTTATTCTCATATTTTCTGCAATTTATTTACTTTAATCTCATATTTTCTGCAATTTATCTACTTTATTCTCATATTTATTTGCATTTTATTTACTGTATTCTCATATTTTCTGCAATTTATTTACTTTATTCCCAAATTTTCTACACTTTATTTGCTGTTTTCTCATATTTTCTGTAATTTATTTGTTTTATTCTCATATTTTCTGTAATTTATTTGCCGTATTCTCATATTTTCTGCTCTTTATTTGCTGTATTCTCATATTTTCTGCTCTTTATTTACTTTATTCTCATATTTTCTGCTCTTTATTTACTTTATTCTTATATTTTCTGCTCTTTATTTACTTTATTCTCATATTTTCTGTAATTTATTTACTGTATTCTCATATTTTCTGCTCTTTATTTGCTGTATTCTCATATTTTCTGCTCTTTATTTACTTTATTCTTATATTTTCTGCTCTTTATTTACTTTATTCTTATATTTTCTGCTCTTTATTTGCATCATCAAAGTTTCATCTTCTTCCGTATGAATTTAAACTGTAAGCGAGTGATTTCTCCAACTTATTAAAGCGTTAATGATAATTAAATGTCGCCATAAACTGCAAATTACTTTTATATTGAATTCCTCTTCTGGGACTTTCTGAGACGGATATTGTGAAGATGTATTAAAGCAAATTATTTATTTCTATAAATGTTTTATTTCAGTTAATGTTGATTTCAAGTAATATTTTTTTTTATGTTTTTAGACTCTTAAAACTGTGACAGACATTTATGATGTTACTAAAGATTCACTTTCTAATCTTCAAATAAATAAAATGCATCACAGTTTTCACAATTATGTTTGTTTTTTAAATATAAAAATTGTTTTCAACATTGATAATAATCGTAAATGAATCTTGATCATCAGATCCTCATTAGAGTGATTTGTGAAGGGTCATGTGACACTGAAGACTGGAGTAATGATGATAAATTCAGCTTTGATCACAGGAATAAATTACATTTGACTCTATATTCACAGATATTTTAAATTCTAATAATATTTCACTGTTTTTACTGTATTTTTGATCAAATAAATGCAGCCTTTTTTCTGCATGAATCGAGTCCTCGCTAACCTCTGTTTGCTACACTTGTCTGTTCTCAATCAGGTCCAGTGTCTGGTGGCCACAGACGTGGATAAAGGTAACAACGCATGTCTTATAACTAACATTGTTTACACACACACGTCTCACACTTGGTCCAAACGTGTTTCTCTGGTTTCCTACTGTAAGTGCAGTGGACGTGTCCTTATCAGTGTGTGTGTGTGTGTGTGTGTGTGTGTGTGACACTTGTCTTTCTTTCTGTATGTTTCCATTTAAAGCCCGTCCTCTGTATCACCTCACACTTTCTCAAACACACAGTCCTACAGACTCTTGGGTAAAAGAGTCCAGATAGCAGACCGGGGTCTTATCAGACAGAGATGAGTGTTAATGGAGTGAAGGTCAGTGAAGTTATGAGACACACACACTGCCAAGCTGAAGCTCAAGAGTCCTTCAGCAGTGAACACACACACACACACACACCAGCTGAGACAGTGAGTTCACTGCGGTGAGGATAAACACTCCCTCCGTCATCCTTTTACAGTCTCTGGGACTCGCACACACTGCATGCAGACTACAGACTACATTACAAACACTAATATTGACTACATTTTATTTACTTTATTCTCATATTTTCTGCACTTTATTTACTGTCTACCTTTATTCTCTGCATTTTATTCACTATATTCTCATATTTTATGCACCTTATTTGCTGTATTCTCTTATTTTCTGCCATATATTTACTGTATTCTGATCATTTATGCACTATTTACTGTATTCTCATATTTCCTGCACTTTATTTACTGTCTTCTTTTATTCTCTACATTTTATTCACTATATTCTCATATTTTCTGCTCTTTATTTACTCTTCTCATATTTTCTGCTCTTTATTCACTATATTCTCATATTTCCTGCACTTTTATTTTCTGCATTTTCTTTACCATAATCTTATTTTCTGGCTGATGTACTCCGGGATGTTCAGCCTCCTCATATTCTCTGTTTGCGTCTCAGTCGTGTCTCGTATCTCTCGTGTTTTTCTCCATGATTTATTCTCCATGTCCACACGCAGGACTGCAGCTGCAGTTATATGTACACGTAGATGAATTTCCCTACATTTTTAAACCCAAATGAAATGAAATGATGTATCAAATGTCGAGTGTTTCACGGTCTGTGTGTCTGTACACATCGACTCATTTCTCTTTCCCTCTGTTACACGTGGAGAGAATAAATTCAGTTCTTCCTCCCTTTCAAAGACACACACAACACAGTGTTTCTGTGTCATAACCAGAGCTGAGCTAGTTCTGTTGTAGAAATACTACTATAAAAACATGTGTATGCACGAGGAGTGTGTGTGAGAGAGAGAAAGACGTGTGTATGAGAGAGAGAGAGAGAGAGAGTCATGTGTATGCATGAAGTGTGTGTGTGAGAGAGAGATACACTGAGCCTGATATTATGGGTTTATGTTTTCAGCAGAAAATGATGGTGACAGCAGAAAATAACCCAGATTCAGAGGCAGAGATAAAGACACGAGCGACATCATGGACGGGGAGAAAACACATTCAGAGTCACGTTAGCACCATATAACACACACTCAGTCCAGTGTGCACTTTAGTCACTGTATTCTCATTTTCTATACTTTATTTACTATATTCTTATACATTCTCCAAATTAAAATTAATATTAATTGCCAATGGTTTTAGAAAAATAATCTTTTTCTTTTTTTTTCCTTTGAATTAAGGGACATTTTTGAACCATTGCCAGATATTTCTCTGTTTTGAGCATAAAGTCACTTAATTTTTATACATTTTTCAAAAAAAAAAAAAAAAAACAACCTTCAGTCATTGCTTCTCTAGTAAATGTACCTTAATTTGAGAATGGTTTGAAATTTGTAGACAGAAATACAGAAAAAACATATATTTTTTGCAGTGTATCTTGATACATATATTTTTTAACACCAAAAACCTAACATTTTTGTTTTGAGTAAGTTTTACTCATAGTGTAATTCTGTTTGTATCAGAGCGGGTGCGCCGCTAACTGTGTGTTCTGTAATTGATCACCTCTAATCAGGGATCCTCATTAATGACCAATTAGGCAAACCATGATTGTTTATATTGTGTGTCATTCAAACAGAGCCCCAGTTAAATACACACAAACACACACACACACTGGAAAAACAGATCTTGAACCACAAAAACAAATACTTGTGTCTTCTCGTGCACTGTAGCTCAGCTAGCTGCTTACATAGGCGAAAGGGGCCGTTTTTGGGTGGTAGGGCTTATTTTGCTCGTATTTGTGCCTTTTTCAATGTCCTTGTTGCAGCCATAGTTGGGTAACGATGCTTTTGGGAAACGCACCCCTGTTTACTTCAAGCTTCTCCTTCTGAAAGCACACTGTGCTCTGATTGGTCGAGCGCTTTGAGGTCTTTCAGAGTTTTTGGAAATGTCCCGCCCCTTTCCATAACCGCCAGTTTAACACACTACTAACTAACTCAACCAGGCCCCGCCCCTTTATTCTGTGCATTAATTATTATAATGAGGAATATTTTGACGTGACTCGAGATTACAGTCGAGGCGTTTCAGGAGTTCAGAAACACTGACACGGATATAGAGAATAGATCTCGCTGGCGTTTAAGAGGTGTTCATCCGTTCTAACCAAGCGAGCCACACAAGCCCTCAAAAGTGAAGCCAAAACGTCTCGATCGCCCCCCAGTGGGCGGTCCTAGTATATGTCATAAACCCCGCCCCTCTCTGTGTTATTCAACAGGATGTGAGACCAACTAAACAATTAAATTACACTTCACATCCTTTTTCCAAAGATAGTTTCTGTCATTTACTGTAGTTTCTGTAGTTCACGTTGAGGTAATTTCAAGTGTTTGTTTTTAAAATAAGTTTGTCTTTAGTTATGCTATAAAAACGGTGCTCATGATTGACAGCTGTGATTGACAGGTTCTCTGTGTGAAATAGTCACTGACTTTTTCATGTTGACTATGTGCTTAGTAGTCGTATTTACCTTATTTTAACGAGGTTCTGCAATCAGCAGACATCATCGGAGAGGAACGGAGCACGCAGACGCCACTTAAGAAAAGTGCGGGGCGTGTGCTTGCGATTGGTTCTGAGAGAGTGAGGGCGGGGCCTTGATTCCGCAGCTTTACTTCCTGCTCACGACTGCGCATGTCTGGTCCCGAAAGACTGTCAGCGCCACATCGGGACACTGGCGGCTTCAGTTCCCTCCAATGGAAAAGAGCGAAGGGGCGTCATCCATCTTTTTTTACAGTCTGTGGTCTAACACACACGTCTCGCGTGCGGCTCGAGTCTCACACTGACCCGTAATCTGCTCTCACACCCCACGTGCCGTTTCTGTGTTGAGGCAGCAGATTTATTCTGCTGGAGGACGTAATTAATGATCTCATTAGAGGAACTTGTTAGCGAAGGACAGTAGCTTTGAGACGACATACGCTCGTTAGTAAAGCGCTTTCATAATTGCTGCCGTTAGAACAACAACAAAAAAACATAAGGGGTTACAGAGCCTTTATTAATCCTGATTCTGATTCACAAAACATTCTTAAAGTGCCCCTATTATGCTTTTTCGCATTACCTAGTGTGCAATATGGCTGAAAGTGAATATAAAAGGTCTGCAATGTTTCAAAGATCAAACTTTCTCACTTCCTGCTGAAACTACATAGGTTTTTAACTAATTTGCATAATCCCCGCCTCTGGTCCTGATTGGCTGAGCAATCTTAGCCCCGCCCTCAAACACTGTAGTGTATCTGAGACGGGAGAGTTGGGCTCGTGTCGAGAAGACGCTACGGTGAAACCCACCATCATTACTGTTCGTATCACTGTGATCAAGAGCTGAGAGTCAGATATGATAATGAGCCTTTCTGACCAATCACGGCAGAGCAGCTCTCAGAGAGGCGGAGCTTAGAGAGACGAAGCGTTTCACACACTGAGAGGAAAGAGATGACGCTGCAGTGATTATTATGAGCAAATTAAAGTGTTTTTGGATCTTAGATGCATGTAAACTTGTTGCAGGAGATAGAGACACTTTAAGAATAAAACTATTTAATTTTTCTCTTATTTACGAATATATTTTATTCCCGAAAATACTTATTTAGATTGTTCCTAAGACAAAACGTAAAAATAATTCAGATTCTTAAAAAAAAAAAAAGTCGTAAACTAATCGTAAGTTACCCATTAAAGTCAGGATAGGTAAGATGTTTAATGAATGTTTCAAGCAGGGTTATTTACGTAAACTAAAACTACTAAAAACATTGCTGTTAATCTTAATAAAGCTGAAATAAAATATTTCATTCAAGAGTTTAACTAGTTGATATCAGCAACATTTAAATTGCAAATATGTGATGTAATAGTAGATGTTTTACGAGTGATTGATTGTTTTTTTCTCATGTCAGACGTCTGAGGACTGTGTTTTTCTGAGCTTTTCCATTAGTGCCAGTGCTTTTATACTGACGCCTGCAGTTATAATGAAGAGTTTATCGCTCCTGGACGAATGCTGAATGAATTCTGCGCCTCCTGTCACTAGGAGAACAATAAGTCTTTAATGCGGCACATATTTCATGTTGCTGTGCTGGTGTGTGTTTATTTCAGAGGTGTGTGTGAGGGTCAGACACGCTCTCGGTGAGCTTGTCTCTCAGGTCCAGTGTTTATGGAGCTCATACACCATTAATCATTTTTAGCTAAATAATGGTGTCATGCCATAATCCATCATGCACACAGAGAGCGCTGAGCATTATAGGATATAATTACACTTAAGAGTGTGTGTTTGATGGTATGTGTGTGTGCCTCATATTTTAACAACACTCTCATGTCACGATTCGGTTTGATACACACACAACACTAGTCTAATTATACTTTTGAACCAGGGTTTTTATAGTAATGGTTTTATAGGGTTTTATAGTTTTGACATTAACTGAAATGAAAATATCCTGCTGGACTCTGAAAGATTGCATATGTTTCTTATTTAACACGATTAAACCTAAAATTACCGCAACGGCAAAAATAGCTGTATGGGGCGTAACAGTGTCGATAGATTATGTTTACACACACACACACTGGCATTTCCACTCGATACAGATCAAGTGTCTCTCCATTCATTAATTTCTCATGAGGTCGTAGAAAACTGAAAACACTCCAACAAACAGTAGAGAGAGAGAGAGAGAGAGCAGTTGAATGTGTTTAAATGACTTGTTCTTGTTTGTATAATTGCTGTGCTGTTTAGTTAATTTGAGAGAAGTTTAAACACTCATTATACTGTAGCTGCTTCTTTAGCTTAATAGAGATGAACTCATGCAGAAATGTTCATGTTTTAATTATAATGTGTGTGTTTGCACAGTATTTACACATCTATCTCTGTAAAAAAAGATTGTGATTTTAACGGTAAAAGACAGTAACAGTGAAAAACTGTTAATTGGTTAACCGTCCCTTACTATATACGGTAAATAACTGTGATCGATCTAATGGTAAAGTTCATGTAATTTTACTGTAAAATACCATTAAATTTACAGTTTTTAAAGTAAAAATGAACAACCATTGTATAATTTAAAGTGAAAAAAAAACGTAAATTGAGATTCCCACAATTCCCTACGTGACACTTCGCATTTGATGTGTTTTTGTTGGAATAACTTGTTTCTTCGTAGTTTGCGTAGTCTTTTTCTAATCAGTTATGTACATTAGGGTTTTATGTGATATTTAATGTTGTTAAATTAATGTTTATTGCCTTTAATGGTACACAATGGTACAATGGATCTATCTGTCTGTCTGTCTATCTGTCTGTGTGTCTGTCTGTCTGTCTGTGTGTGTGTGTATCTGTGTGTCTGTGTCTATCTGTCTGTCTGTCTGTCTGTCTGTGTGTCTATCTGTCTGTCTATCTGTCTGTTTATCTGTCTGTCTGTCTGTCTGTGTGTCTATCTGTCTGTCTATCTGTCTGTTTATCTGTCTGTCTGTCTGTCTGTCTGTCTGTCTGTGTATCTGTCTGTCTGTCTGTCTATCTGTCTGTTTATCTGTCTGTCTGTCTGTCTGTGTATCTGTCTGTCTGTCTGTCTGTCTGTCTGTCTGTGTATCTGTCTGTCTGTTTATCTGTCTGTCTGTCTGTCTGTCTGTCTGTGTATCTGTCTGTCTGTCTATCTGTCTGTCTGTCTGTCTGTCTGTCTATCTGTCTGTCTGTCTGTCTGTTTATCTGTCTGTCTGTCTGTGTATCTGTCTGTTTATCTGTCTGTCTGTCTGTCTGTCTATCTGTCTGTCTGTCTGTTTATCTGTCTGTCTGTCTGTCTATCTGTCTGTCTATCTGTCTGTCTGTCTATCTGTCTGTCTGTCTGTCTGTCTGTCTGTCTGTCTGTCTATCTGTCTGTCTGTCTGTCTGTCTGTCTGTCTGTCTATCTGTCTGTCTGTCTGTCTATCTGTCTGTTTATCTGTCTGTCTGTCTGTCTGTCTGTCTGTCTGTGTATCTGTCTGTCTGTCTGTCTATCTGTCTGTTTATCTGTCTGTCTGTCTGTCTGTGTATCTGTCTGTCTGTCTGTCTGTCTGTCTGTCTGTGTATCTGTCTGTCTGTTTATCTGTCTGTCTGTCTGTCTGTCTGTGTATCTGTCTGTCTGTCTATCTGTCTGTCTGTCTGTCTGTCTGTCTATCTGTCTGTCTGTCTGTCTGTTTATCTGTCTGTCTGTCTGT